TTGAAGCAGGGTCTCCCTGTAGCCCCAGCTGTCCTGGAACTCACTATGTAGACCAGGCTGGCCTTGAACTCACAGAGATCCGCCTGCCTCTGCCTCCCAAGTACTGGGACTACAGGCGCCGACTAGTACTTCTTTTAAGGCAAGTGAGACCTTTGTAAAGGCCAAAGGTGGCCTTTTCTTTAAAAGTGTGTAGGAGATAAGCAAGATGGAGAAAACTGTCACCTATCCTGTAAGAAGTGGGAGAAGCATTTTTAAAGGGTGAGTTACACGGAAAGATAGTTTCTAGGGAAGCAGGTGCAGCTGTGTGTGCGTGTGTGTACCCACACATGCCTTTGTATAATCTTGATTCACGCAGGGCACTTTTTAAGTGTCAAGTATTGAAAAGGCTTTCAGCTACACTAAGACCCCAGGCTAGGGAGTGAAGGTGAAGAAAATGACAGTGCTGGTCACCCCGGAAGAAAATGCCAGAGGGCCTGGTTCCCAGAGTCACCCCCATACTGGGAGATGCGCCACCAGGAGACACGCACCCCCTTGCACCCAAGCTCGGCTTTCTTGTACAGTGTGGCAGACATTAGGCAGAGGAATCACTTAGAACACCGCCCTGAGTCCACACCCTGCCACCCTAGGCTTCTCACTGGCAGCCCCAAGACAAGGTTACGCCACGTTCCTCTTATTTTTAAAACACGGAGGGTGCGACGAATACCTGCTTAGTGTCTGAACCCAACAGGGCAGAAAAGTAATTTTCCTTGCCCGAAATTGTCAACACCTTCCCCACCTCCTTCCTCTCAGGGTCCTTCTCAAGTCAGCCTACAGAGCAGAAAGAAAGGGGACCCCAGATAGCTGGGGCCTCGCCCCTGAACAAGTTTCCACTGGCTTGGACGCTTCCAAAGCCGTCAGGGCAGGCGCTGCTCGTGGACCCAGGGCGCGCTACATCTCGTGATCTGGTCGTCCCTGGAGTGCCCTGCGTGCTGACCCGGATTGGGTGGCCCTGGCCGGGGGACCCCACTTACCCCACCACCGAAATCATCATGGCAGCCACTACCAGGTAGTTGGTCTGGTAATAGAGCAGATTGCTCACTACGCGGTTGTTCCATTTGGAAATGTCCCTGAAGTCCGGTCGAGCGAAGCGATCAGACCCGGGGAAGAAATCGTCCCAGGCGCGCAGCGGGGCGAGGTTCACGTCCATGTTCCACGGCTTCGGGTGCTTCGCCTCCGGAATCTGGCTGCGGCGGCAGCAGCAACCCAGCTGGGTGAGAGATGACAGCTACTCCTCCGGATCGGCTCTGCGGTTAGAGGACTGCAAGGCCCAGGAAATTGTGAGCGGGCGGGTGTATTTGCCTGTCCTTGATTGGCTGGAAATGGTCCGTGACAGGAAGACTGGGGGCCTCCACAAAGCAAAGGACCTAGTGCAGAACAGAGAGAAGTGACAGACAGAAAGCAAACAGTGGAAATCCCCTGTCTAAAGGCGGTGACCACGCTTTCCCTGACATTCGAATACAAGGCCTCCTTTATAAACACCCCTTCTGAGTATTGAACCTAGGACTGTGGGTGTTCGCCTTCGGAGAGAAAAAGAAGGCAATTTAAATGGAAGGGCATGGGAGATGACCTTAGCATTACTGGAAGCTGAGTAGGACTAAGCTCTGCACACGTGAATGCAATTCTGTTGTTTTCTGTTTTCACCATGAGTCACTGTGTGTGAAATCAGATTGGCAGAGAAAGACATGCAGAAAGGGCTGGGCATCTTCTAGCCTTTCTTTGCTCTCCATTTCTTCTGACTTGTAGAAAAATTATTGAATTGCTGTGCCATCTTAATAAAGCCACTGAGTAGGTATTCGGTGACTTCAGTCTTTGTTGAATATGCTCTTAACATCTTCAAAGCAAAAAATTGTCTGCACTGAGGTGAGTGTTCTGCACCCAGTATTCTCTGGACAGAAACATGGAGTCCAGACCAAAGATAGTTGTTCATTTTATTCTACTTTCACTTTCACTTAAGGGAATATAATACAATTTTTGGTTTTTAAGATTTATTTTTGGAGGCTGGAGAGATGGCCCAGTGATTAAAGCACTTGCTGTTCTTCTAGAGAATGCCAATTCCATTCCCAGCACCCATGTCAGACAGCCTACAACTGCCTGTAACTCCAGGCCCAGGGGATACAACACCCTCTTATGGCCTCCTAGGGGGCTGACAAATACATGTGCACATGCATTCACACAGACAGACAGACATAAAGACAGATACACATAAAAATACATTAATTTTTAAAAAAATTTATGAATGTGTGTATCCGGGTGTGGGTATGTGCATGAGTGAGTGCAGGTGTTCTCAGCATCTGGAAGAGGGTGTTGGATTCTCTGGAGCTGGAGTTTACAGGCAGTTGTGAGTGGCCCAACATGGGTACTGGGAATTGAACTCGAATCCTCTGCAAGAGTAGTGTGCACTCTTCACTGAGCCATCTCTCCTGCCCAAGCATAGTATCTTAGTAGATGACTTTTGTATTCTCCCCCAAAGATCTGGCAAGAGTAGTATTGCTTGCCATTGCTCTCTTCAGGCTCTGAAGGCTCATGATTTTTTTCTAGGTACAGAACTCATTGATACAATAATTTTTAAATATCAAATACATGATTAAAAAAGTACAACTGGTCCTAATAGCCATAGGAGAATCAGTTCTAGGACACCTCCCCATACAAAAACCTGTGGATGCTTAAGCCCTTCATTTTAATTGCTATGGTATTTACCCATACTACCTGGGTTTTAGATCATCCCTAGGTTACTTACTGTAATACCTAAAGCGATGTGAATGTGGAGCAAATAGTTGTGCTACATTGTTTAGTTAATAATGACAAGAAAAAAGGTCTGTACATGTTTATAACAGACAAAATTAAAAAAAAACTATTCTGCACATGTCTGGCTTAATTTATGAATGGGAGGTGCTGGTGGATGAATACTGACTTATTTTGATTAGTTCCTATGGAAGGAGGAGTTCTAAGATGCTAGTGTCTAAGGGAACAGTGTCTCTAAACTTGTAAATGGCAATGTTTTAATAGAACTTAATGTGCTCTGATAAGGCTATCAAGTTTCCCTAAACTGGAAAGCAGTAAAATATACCCAGTACAAAGTCTAATTTAATTTCCTTGATGATTATAAATGCAGCTGGGGGAAATTATAGTGATTCTAAGAAATCACTATTGGCGTGGGTGTTTAGGATAGCTTGGCAATTTAATCGTTTGTGCTAGGTAAGCTATATCCTTAGTGCTTTAAAAAAATTTTATTAGATAGAGTTTAAAATGTGAAAACTGTTCCTGAGTTCTCACATTTTGTTGGCTCTTGGAAAATGGGAGCATTTAAAAGTCAGAGGAAGTGAAAATTGGAGTCTCAGATCCTTGCTCCCTGGCTAGCAGGTAATTTGGGGGAAATTTCTTAATCTCCCCTAGCCTTTCTTTTTTTATAAACTTGGAGTAAATAGAAAATCACCCACAGAGGTGGAGATAAATGAAAGAATGTTTGGGAAGTGCTTTGTGTATTATAAGGTCTCACAGTTAGATTTTTATTGTTACTTATAACACTACTCCAGAGGCTAGGGCAGGAGGATTTAAAGTTCTAGACTTGCCTGGGCTACAAAGTGAGCTCAAATCAGCCTGAACAACTTAGTGAGACACTGTCTCAAAATAAAAAGAAGAGGACCACATATATAGTTTAGTGCTACAGCACTTGCCTAGCATGGCACAAGGCCCTGGGTTCAGTCCCTAGTATTGGAACAAAAACAAAACAAAAAACTAGTGTAGTCCCTGATTCATGTCATTGTCTATAGTGTTTTTATAATAAACAGCATGGCTTTTCTTCATCATGTTGCCATTTGATTGCTGTAGTTGTGTCCGAGTCGACAGGATGGGAGAAAATGTTGAGATTATTCAGTAGCAACACCAGAAGATGCTGAGTCCTTTCTGAGCTCTGTGAAAGCACTGCAGCCCAGCTCTGCCTTCAGAGATCTTGCAATGTGGGGAAATATTCCTTAAATATGAGCCAACGAGAAGATTGCTAAATAGAGATGCACCAAACCTCTACTCAGTTACAGGAAGTCAGAGGGTGTGGAGGAATTCCCGGAGTAAGAATTTTAAGCTACATCAGTGTGAGCAAACTGAGTAAATGATCTTAGTCTAGCCTGGGATGGGTGCCCCAGCAGGGCCCAACATCTGTTGGGGAAATCTGAAGGGCTTTCTCCTTCCAACTGCTCAGAACTGCACCACCAGAAGCTGTCAAAATGTATTAGTAACACTAGGACTACTCATCCATCACAGGCTGTTGACAGCAAGCAAACCTTTATTTTTATTTGCTTAAACCTCCAAAGAGAGTGACCCAGTGGTGCAAACCTGTATTCCCAGCTACCTGAAGATTGAGGCAGGAGGACTACAAATTCAAGGCCTGCTTGGATAACTTAGTGAGACTCTGCCTCAAAATAAAGTAAGAAATGGCTATGGATGGAGTTCACTGGGAGAAAGCTTTCCTACCATGCACAAAGCCCTCCGTCCAATCCCCAGTACTGCAAATAATAATAACTCCAAAGTGGTCTCTTAGTTGTCCATGGTACAAATCCCTTTCCCGTTCTTTGAAACTGTTGAGCATGCTTCTGTCTTTTGTTGGATTATGGATGGGTTTTTGTTCCTTTGTTCTTTTTTCTTTCCTGTATATATTCATACATTGCCTTCAAACCATTTGAAATGAGAATGGACACACATTGAGTCTACTTTATTCTAGTCTGAAAGCTATTATAGTTTTTGTCACTATTTTTAGGCAGGGAAGGGGAAGTAGGCAGATTCACTGAAGAAGTCTCTTGGGGGGTGTGAGAGGGCCAGAGAAGTGGCTCAATGGTAGGAGCTAAGAGTGCCTGCTCCTCTTCCACAGGACCGGAGTTCAGTTTTCAGCACCCACATCAGGTGGCTCACAGCTGTCTGTAACTCTAGCTCCAGGGGATCTGATGCCTTCATCTGGCTTACACTGGTACCTGAACACATGTGGCATATACACAAATAGAAATGCACACATAAATAAAAAAATTAAAAATTACAAAAAAAGAAGTCTCTTAGGTACTTTCCACAGGAATTTGATTTTAGTTAGGATCACTGTGAGTATTCTTCTGCCTGCCTACAGACTATAGCGGATGGTCTAATCATTTACGAATGCTCCATTCTAAATGAAATAAGTCTGTTGAAGATTTTGTTCACGTCACTGTAGCTGTCATGATTGGCAAAGGCAGGTGGCTGTTTCTAATCAACCAGTCTAATGAATATCTGGTGTCATCTGTCAAAATGCCACCACAGTGAGTCATGGTGTCATTCCCAAGGCACACAGATGCAGCCTTTGAAGACTTCTTTTTTAGTTACTTTTGCCCTATCCCTAGGAGCTCAGTTTCTTCCTCTATGAAATGGGCGAATGATTCCTAAGATGTTTGTTGGTTTTCAACCTCTGAGGCGTTTGCTGCCATGAATGAAAGGCATTCTTGGATGCCCACAGAAGCCCATTTTGACGAGCAAGGATTAAATCTCTGTGATTTCCATTTATAGAGTTATCTGGGTACAAAAAGGGATTCCTGAGTTGATGTTGAGGCTTGTGACCTAGAAGAAGGCTGGTGTTTCCTGGTGTGGACTATGGACTCTATTCCCCGACTCACTGCCTGACTCTGACTGAGTTTAGCTGAACGAATGCTTACCTAGCTAAGGGATCATAAGGGACAAGTCTTCTTTAAGGTTCAGTGGGGGAATAGAACAAAGAGCAGATTAAATGCCCCAAGTTGGTAACAATCCCTACATCTTCTGAGCACCCAGCAAGCTTCATTTACTGTATTTCATTGGCTCTCAAACTTCACATCCACAAAACCACCCCAGGCTTTGCTGAATATTGGGGTAAGCCCTGAGAACTGACATTTGTAACATTCAAGTGATTCTGGCCAGGAATTCTGGTCAGTGAGAGCCACTGTTTTCATGTAACTCTCAGGTTTACAAGGTGAATATTGTTATGTCAACTTCACGGATGAGGATCTGGGAACACCCAAGGTCTTGGAGTTAATCATGGGAGTAAAGGTTTAAATTCAGTTCAGACTCCAGATTTCGTCTTCATTCCACCTCAATAAAAGAGATATGCTTGTGTAGATACATATTTGAAACATATGAACATAATTATTTTTCTCTCTCCGGTTTAACAGACTCATTTGTATACAGTATATGACTCCAGAAGGAATGAGTCAAAAATTTTATGACCACTTATACCATAGGTGATGGATTGTACAACAAATCCTTACATTTTTCATAACTATCTTTACTATCATCTATCAATCATTCACTTGTCTATCTAATCTAAATATATTCAATTATAACAATGATTTCTTGAAAGAATGGTGTGACACTAAAATATGAATATAAATTTTCACAAAGAAAAGAAGTTTCTCCACCCTACCTCTATTAAATGTTATAAATTGCATGCCTATAAAGGTAAAGATTTTAATTCCTCCTGAAAAATGGGAAACAGAAATTCTTCTCACTATCTGGCCAGAGGAAAGCACTGGCATATTGGGGTGGATTTTTCAGTTTTTAAATAGACTATATCGGGGCTGGAGAGACGGCTTAGTGGTAAGCAGCACTGGCTACTCTTGCAGAGGACCCAGGTTTGAGTCCCAGCATCCACATGGCAGCTAACAACTGTCTGTAACACCAGTTCCAGGGGATCCTACGCCCTCTTCTGACCTCCACAGGCATTACACGACACAGGTGCACTTACATACATGCATACATAAAATAAAAATAATGAATAAAATATTTAAAATAGAATATATCAACATTTGATGCAGTTAATTGGGTAAATAAAAAATATAGCTAAGTTCATGCGGCACGACAACATTACAGCCAGTATAGCATTAACTAGCTGTAATCAAGATTTTTTAAAAAATATTTTCTTTATTATTTTTATTTTATGTGTGCGACTGTATTGCCTGCATGTACGTGAGTGCATCCCTGTCGTGCAATGCCGCGGAGCCTCGCTTAGCAGCCGACCTGCCCCTGGTCCTCTGCTCTACTGTTCCTATTCCAGAAAGCCTGGTCCCTCTAAGCCGGGCCAGCCCTCCCCTCTTTCCCCTACTTACAGCCCCGCCCCGTCCTCCAACCCCCTCAAATCCCCCAACCCTTCCAGCACCCCAACCCTACCCAACATCCCCTCACTCCCCTCCCTAACCGCCCGGTCCCTTGGTGCAGGCTCCGCCTTCCCCTTGCCTCTCAGGGACAGACAGTGCTGGCTCCGCCCCCTTCTTCCCCACTCTAAGCCCCGCCCAGGCCCCGCCTTACTTTACCTGCAGCCCCGCCCCCACACTGGCTCCGCCCTCCGCCGTCTATTTACCTGCAGTCCCCCCCTCCGCTCCCGCCTCAGCGGCCCCGCCCGCCGCGAGGGCCTCTGGGAAGAGGCGGAGAACAATATGGCGGATGGCGAGGAGCCGTAAGTACCGGGACTTTGCCGGCGCGCCGGGCTGGGCTGTGAGAGAGCGTGGCGGTGGGCGGTTGCCGCTGCCACCCGGGGGCCCCCCCACCCCCCGCCCCGTCCCCTCGCCCCCATACCCTCGCGGCGCCCCGTGTGGAGCGTGATGCTGACCCTTCTTTTATTCTCTCTTTCTTTTAGGGAGAAGAAAAGAAGGAGAATAGAGGAGCTGCTGGCTGAGAAGTTAGTGCTGCCGGGAGGCCGGGGTTCTCTCCGGAGACCCCCGCCTCCCCTCAACCCCAGGCCTAGGGGACCAGCCGCAGCGGGCCCGGGGAGCTGGGAGGGGGGCACCCGGAGCAGGCCACGCGGCCTCATCCCCGACCCGGTCCCCAGCCCGGCCGCTCCGGGCTCTGCTCCTGCGAGGGTCACCCTGTGCCCCCCTCTTTCTCCAACCCAAATTGTCAGAGCCGTGACCTTGTGACTAGTGAATCCTCTAAACACCTAATGGACCCGTGCTCGTTTGGGTCCTTGGTAAACACTGAGACAATAGTACTCTTTGCAAACTTTTTATAAACATCCTGTGCATCAGGTATTGTGCTAAGTAAGCACTTGTCATTTTTGCAAAGTAATTGGGTCTTAAAGGAGATGTCGGCTCGAGCCCTTCCTCCCTCATTTACCACACAATCAGTATTTTATCAGATGCTTAGTTTTGTGTTGATGCCAAAGATTTAAAGCTGTTTTCTCATCTGGCGAACCCTACAGATGCCACTCCCGTCCCTCCGTGGGAAGGGAAAAAGTGCTACTGCGATGGGTGTGGTGAATTTCCAATTTCTGTGCCAATTCCCCTTCAGATGGTTGAATTTCAGCTGCAAGAGTTGGCCAAAATGACAGGCTTCAGTTCACATTTCTTCCCACCATTTAACTCCCTACCGTTCTTGGTTAAAATGACAGTTTGAGTGCTTGCTATATGCTGAGAGCTGTCCTAAGTCCTCAGTGTGATTATCTCTTTATCCTTATGACCCTCAGAAGTAGCTGCAGTCGACAGTTGAGGTTTATGACCGTTGAGCAAGATTACTCAAGATTAGAGTGCCATTTGTTGTGGAATGAAGCCCAGCTCTGCATCAAAACCTGTGAATTTTTTTTTTGCTAGACAGTATTTCTTGGTCTCCTTAGTTTAAATTCGGTATCATTGGTGTATTTGAAGATAGAAATTGCGGGGTTATAGGAAAATTGTTGCAACCAAATGAGTATTTCAGTGATTAGAAAGTGCATGCATTTTGTTAAAGGAGTCCCACTTTATTTAGTTGCATGTTCTTAGAGTTTCTTGGTGGTCATGCCTATCCGTGGCATTACTGACAAATCCACCTTAGTATTAACAGATGCTTAAAAAAAATACTGGGACTTCTGTTAGAAAAAATGTAAAAAAAAATAAGTGAATGAAAGTTGCTAATCATCAAAGATGATAAAATCACACCTTTCAAACTTGGAAGAGCTCATAAATAGTATTTCACAATTCTACAAGTGCCCCTTACCCTGTTCTGTTTGTTATTTCCTGATCCAAATCTATTGAAGGAACAGATAATGGAAGTTCTTGGTGATTGTAAATGCCAACTGTAGGGAAGTCCTTTTCGCACTGATAAATCAATGTTCCAACTTTGGTCTTTGGGTGCTGAGGAAGCTGGCCACAGAGATCAACTTCATAAAGTAGATGAAATAAAAATGCTTGTCCTTAATAGATAAGCCTAAATTGGAAAACAAACATAACCACAGCTCAGTTTCCCTTTCTGTTGGAGCAGGTCTGGTGTGGTTTGCCTTTACATTTGGGGAGACCTATTAGTTGTAGGTGTGGCTTTTTCTTACTGATCTTTGCAGCTGAATTTACTGTGTTCTGTGCAGAATGGCTGTTGATGGTGGGTGTGGGGACACTGGAGACTGGGAAGGTCGCTGGAACCATGTAAAGAAGTTCCTCGAGCGATCTGGACCCTTCACACACCCTGATTTCGAACCAAGCACTGAAGTGAGAAATGTTTATTTTTAAATAACTGCTCTCATAGTTTTAAGTTTCAAAGATAGTAAAATGCTTCCTTTTTAATTTGCTCTTATAACACAGATAATAAAATTGTGATTAAGTTAGCTTGTATTAAATTGAATATTTAAATCGATTATCTTTTTAAACTAGTGATGCAGTTTTACATTCTAAATCTTAAATTTTTCAAGAGAAAAATAACTTGATAACGTCATAGTAATTCTGTTATGCTTAAAATTCCAGTTTCTTAGTATATTTCCCCTTTTGTAGCTCTGCTGTGAGAAATTAATTTTTGAAGAGAAACTTGGGAGTAACAGGAGCACATAGTAGGACTAAGGGCCTAGATTCTAGGCCTAGAACAAGGCTGGAGAGTTGTACATCTGTGTGCTGTATACAAGCATGCATGTGAA